AGTCTTCAAATGTAAAATTATTGACTTCAAATAAATCAAACTACGTATCAAGTCGCCATTTTAATTATTACACTTTTCCGTCACTCGAAGTGCGACCATCTGTCACATCGTAAAATAGTGTTTATGTTGTCTCTACTTTATTCTTGGTGGACGCTACTAATGTAGATATTAAATAGTAGTGATTGTAGGTGAGACCATTGAGGCAATCTAACGAAGCGACTAGAGTAAGGAGAGTTGAGTAAGAACTGCGGTCCGAAACTCTAGCCATTAGGCCTCACCAGTATTCACGGGGTCTTCGGGACCCTAGATCACGAAGCACCTTAAGGTGTAAAGTTTTGTGCAAAGATGTGTGTACTAGAGGTAAATATCTTTAAAGTATTTTAACATGTTTGGTTTCATTGATTTTCCTTTAAATGCCAATTTTAAATTTTTTTTTCATCCCAAGTATATTTATCTTATATTTATCAATATTCATTTATTTCATTATTTATTTCCTAAATATAAATTAATTATTTATTCTTGAAAATATTAGCCATTTTGTAATTATACATAATATGTTACTTTATTAACACTTTCTCTCCTCCCCTTTCCAAAACTATTTATGAAATATTCCGAGTGGTTGTGAAGCCTCGGAGTTTCTACCCCTAAGGACCAGAAGAGTCTATAACTAGTTGCCAAAGCCGATCGACTATGCTATTAGGGGTGATTTTTTTTAATTTAATTTTAATTTTTTTCCTTTTTCCTTTCGGACTCCAGGACCTTTTTGCTGGTGACAGTGCTGCCTTTATCCCCTAATAGTATATTAATAACTAATAGTCAAAGACCTATCAGTTGTTACACTGGATATTTTAGATTAGTTAGTTTTTTAATTTAGAGGCAGCAGTGGGTCTTTAGACTAACTGATTGTTATATTTGGTATAAATAAAAGACGTGAAATTTAAATCTTTAGAAAATAATAATTATATTAATCTTATTAAATGCGTTATTAAAATCGCCTTGTAAACATTTTAAAAGGTTTTGAAAATTGGAATATGCCGGTTCAAAGTACCGAAAAACTGTCGGTTATTAATCCGAAAGCAAAGGAAATATAAATTATATGGAAATTCCCAAATATTTTTTCCAAATTTTCCTTGCGATATAATGAATATTATTTTTGAACCCCCTAATTGAAAACAAATAATTCTAAAATCGTAAAAAAATGTATCCTGGGAAGGATCCGAACATCTTCATTTACGTTCTACGCATGTTGCTTTACCAATTCGGCCATCGGTTTAATAAAAGTTTGAATATATTCACGAAGCAACATCTGCTTTACAAAAATAAGTTATTTGCGTAAAGACCTTTGAAGTAGCTATTTAAAAGTGCAAAGAATTTCCAGGCATTTAATTTAAAAATGTCGACAAAATTTTTGTCACTTGAACATGGAGCACATTATATAAATAAAATTGTTTTCTAACCAAATAAAACGGTTTTGTTTCATTTTGTTGTCTCAGTTAGTTTCGACTGTACATTCCGACCCACCCCATATATTAAACCTGTGTGTTATAGGCAGTTTCGTTTATTATATCGTGTACATCATCATTAACATACCAAATTAGTAAACATGAAACATGGCTAGTGGTGGCGCAAAAGTTTCCTCCAATATAAATTTAAATAAAAATACTTATCGAAATGGTCGTATTTTTTTTTTTCTCTTGAATAGTGCAGGATAAAATATGTATAACAATTAACTTTAAGCAAGATTAAAACAGTTCTAAATACTAAATTTAAACAATTCTCTTTACTGAAACCGTATTTGCCAAATCAATGACAACCCTAGTTTATTTCATCTTCATCATATATTGTATATTGTTTCGCTAATTTTTCTAATACTCATATTTCACGCTACAATTTTTAGAAATTCACTTAATAATAATCTGTATTATTGTCTCGTAGTAGGTCAAGACGCAAGCTCGGGGTAGATCCGTGTACTTTTCTCTACTGTTAGACGTAGTTGATATTATTTTTCATTTTCAATCGAGTGACCATCGCATACCTTAAATAACGGGTGATAAATGATAGATCCTTTACCGAAGAAGAGAGTTTTGCTACCAGACCCTCAGTGGGAGCAACACCACTCAGATCCTTTTAGATGTGGTTAGTGTATCTCTTGGCCCACCTCGGGTCAAGCTCGGGGATTCGGTGCCGAGCTACTACCAACTTTTATCATTAGTTGTCACAACACCATACATATACTTACCCTTTACATCTTGGTTCCATCTGGATTCTTCCAGACGTCCCTCCGAATCTGCTAATTTTTACTTTGACCTACTTAGGGATGTTGGGTCTCTTTTAGTAGTTCTTGTTTCTCCAACATCACTAAACAGTACAACTGCCAAATGATGGATCTACCATCGAACAATTAACCTCTAAGAACTATCCTTTCGGTGAGGTTGAGCCTTTCAATCGGAGGCCAATACTGATTATTTATTGAGCTGAGATTCACTTTATTAGGTATCTCACATTAATTTGGTTCACAATTTATGTTTTTATTCTTACCGATTTTTAATTTCACAGTTAACATAGTTTACTTAAGCCATTTATAAGTTTCTTTTTACTCATATCACTTACCTAGTTACTCTCTTCTCCCTGAGGGGTTAATGGTATTGGCTACTTAACTATTTTGTGTAATGTATTTGATAACGTCTCAGTTTTTAATACCATTTTACTATTGTAAGCTTTGTTAAAAGCTATGCTCAGTCGTCTTTAATTCATTTTTCATGCTTTACACAGGTGCCCAAACTATAGGTCTTATCATTATTCCAAACTTTGTAAAACTTCGTTGTTCCAACATCTGTTTCTTCCTATGTGACGATCGTAGTATTTTTTACAGATTCTCAGATATACACAGGGGAAACATACAGTATGTCGCTAATGTATGGAATAAATTCATTATAATGGAAGTAGCTGGTTTTTCGAAAAAATGCTCGGACAGGTCAATTTTGTTTACTTAAAGCGCAATTTTTTAAATAAAATTCAATTTTCCCCCACTTCCCATTTTTGGGCAGTGACGTCATTGACAATTTTTTTAAATAGCAACCCCAATTTTTTTTTCTTGATTTTGATAGATCTTGCAATTTCCTACTCGGAAACATGATATTTGAAATATCTGACATAACAATTTTTTTTGAAAAAAAGTCATTTCAAGATCAGATACATAAATTTTATGTTATTTTGAAACACAATAAATTAATAACAGATAATTATTTGTAATTAAATGCTTAATCTAACAAAATAATAATAAAAAAAATAATAATAAAAAGAATTTGTGAAATTGTCATTAAATTCGTTTTATTATTATTATTATTATTTTTTTAAATTAAGCACTTAATTACAAATAATTATCTTTTATTAATTTATTGTGTTTCAAAATAACATAAAATTTATGTATCTGATCTTGAAATGACTTTTTTTCAAAAAAAATTGTTATGTCAGATATTTCAAATATTACGTTTCCAAGTAGGAAATTGCAAGATCTATCAAAATCAAGAAAAAAAAATTGGGGTTGCTATTTAAAAAAATTGTCAATGACGTCACTGCCCAAAAATGGGAAGTGGGGGAAAATTGAATTTTATTTAAAAAATTGCGCTTTAAGTAAACAAAATTGACCTGTCCGAGCATTTTTTCGAAAAACCAGCTACTTCCATTATAATGAATTTATTCCATACATTAGCGACATACTGTAGATGCTGTCCTGTCTCATAACGAGTCAGGAGTTCTAATTAAACATTGAAATGCTAAATCACCTACAGTCGTAATTAGAAACCTGGTAGAAAAGGTGTTAGAGGCCTTATTGGCAGACGATCCAGGATGCTCAGCGTTAGGTCTAATGGAACCAACTTACTAGCCTGGTAAGGCTGTACTAGACCTAATTAAAATTGTCTACAGGCCGAAAGTAGTGTTCAAGAGAATTGTGGGAGGCAATATAGGCCCAATTCGAAAAGTTGAGGTGTGTGAAGTAGTAGAGCATTCAAAAATCATAATCCAACAAGCACCGCGACATAGCACTAGTCAGGTACCGAGGCTTAGATATTTTAGGGTTATTAGAAAAGTGCTGAAAGAATTGATAGTGCCCAAAAGAAGGGCGAGGAGCGAACAGAACGAGATTAGCTGAAGACAAACTAAATTACTTAAACTACCTATAAGGACTAGACCCGCAAAGAACAGGTTTATGGAATTTATGGGTAGGCAAAATAAGAAGAAAGTCCCATCTTTACTTGGAGCCAACAATATAGCGAACACCACAGATGAAAAAGGAGAGCCATTCATTACCACAACATGAATACGAAGATATTAAAGAAGATATGGAAACAGAAGAAGAAGAAGAAGAAGAAGAAGAAGAAGAAGAAGAAGAAGAAGAAGAAGAAGAAGAAGAAGAAGAAGAAGAAGAAGAAGAAGAAGAAGAAGAAGAAGAAGAAGAAGAAGAAGAAGAAGAAGAAGAAAAAAAAGAAAAAAAAAGAAGACCATTTTTAAAAAGATTCGTTATCTACAGAATCATAATAATTTAAACTCTTCGATTTTGTGGAAAATTGTAATACCGTATCGTCATCGAACTCATTGGTAGTTCCAGTATGTACAACTACTAAGCGTTTGTTCCTGTCTTCTTTTAAACTCTTGCCAAACTGGTGACAAATTGTCTATTTTCTCCACTTATAGTTCTTCCTGGCATATTGGTATTGAAATCTAATGTCCAAGAATGTGATATTTTGTCGATTTAAAATTGAAATTTTAGAAGCGCCAAATCGACAAAATTTATTTTTATAACTTGGACGTACTTTACTGAACAGTAGCTAACGCGACGTACATATCGATAAATGGTTAGATTAGACAGTCCCGTATGTTCCCTGTTGTAAGGTTCATGCAAAGTATTACGGGTGCACGCCAAAATCGTTGAAATGGACTATTCATACATTATTTTTGGTCCACATTTAAGATTGTTAATGTATTTTTTTTTGTTATAGGCAAAGCGCTGATCCAGACTTGTCTCAACTCCCCTGACCCTCCCGCAGGCAGTGCAGGAGGCGACCAAAGGATGTCCGCCACTGGCTTCGAAGAAACGGAACTCACCTACAACATATCGGATGACGACTCCAAAGTAAGACAAATGGTGTACGGTTCTCCCCATACGCACGCTCACCCCCATTCTTTGGCCAGCCAAGGTCACTATTCGCACCTCGAACAGACCCACCTCGGTTTAGGTGGGTCGCCCCAGCACGGTGGCTACTCCCAGGCTTGTCCCAGTCCCCTGCCGCCGCCCCATCAGGGCTACGGGCATCCGCAACACCCCCACTCGCATATGCATACGCACCCCCAGCGGTAGAGGGGCGTTTAGGTGTTAAATTTTTTAGGTATTTTCTTGTTGGTTGTTTTTTATTTTGAGTGAGAGGTGCGGACGGCCTGGAGACGCTCCTGAGTATGGGAAAAAATAATGCCCTGGTGTTAACGAGGTAAATTATTAGAAATATTGGATCGATAAATTGGAGGCACAATTAATGCATTTTTTTAAAGAATTAAATCGAATTTTGATGGTTCTTGAAAAAAATATTGTTTATACGGGGATTGATCTGATAAAAGGGAAAGTTATTAAATATGAGGCGGATCATTTTATCGTTAGTGCTGGAAAGTTTGGCTATCAGGACAAAAACCGAAATAAAAACCGAAATCAAATTGAAATAAATACCAAGTAAAAGCGTGCAATAATTATTCTAAAAATATTAATAATAAATGCGTTAACTAATTTTTTTTTAGTTAAATTTGATTGTTTATGCAGGAAAATACGTAGCAGGACGTAAGCTGTTATAAAGAGCATGTACAGGGTGATTTATAATGGGTGGCGACCAGCCGTATCTCAGAATATCTTGAAGTAGAATTTATTTTTGAGAGAAACGCAAAAACAAGTCGATTTTTATTTCAAGGGAGACACCTTTCTATAATATACACTCAACTGTCATATGCCATTCCTCTTACCTACGTCAATCTAACCGATACAATTTAAATAAGGAAAGTACCAAGTATGACACATCGTCGGAAAGGTAATGTTTTTGCGTTTATTTAAAAAAAAATACTTTAAGATATTCTGAGATACGGCCGGTTGCCACCCTTAATGAAGGGGTACTATTAATTATTAAAAAAATTAAAACAAATTCGATAGTTTATTTTTCAAATATGTATTGTTAATGCAGGAAAAATTTTGCTGCAGAAACTGAAATGAAATTAAATATTGTTAAAAAAAGGACACCATTATTCTAAAATTTAAAATATAACTGCCTGTTAAAAAATGAAATCGGAAATCCTAGGTGATTTACTTACGAATTAAAAATATATGAAGTTTATGACTTTACGTTTTTCTTTATAGTCAATATACATATTTTTAATTTTTGGTTATTCCAATTGATTGTAGATTTAGATTTACATAAACCTACATTGTAATATTTTTAAATTCAATTATATTATAAAATACATTATTACGTTAATTACAAAGAAAAGTTTGGAGAATTGAAATATAATACTAAAAAGGTCATTCAGCCAGTGGCGTAGTATTTTGAAAGGTGAAACTTTTCTTTTATCCCTGCCGCACGCACGCTTCTGGTAAATATGTATTAGATATCACGTGTCAGTTTTTCCTTAGCATTATTCACTATTTTCCCCATTATCTTCTATTTTATTGTTTTATATTCCAGTTATCTTTCTTCATCTTCTTTATTAATCTTTGTATTGACTTTATTTGACAGCTGTTTTTTAACACCACTTTTACTATTATCTAGATCGGTGCTAGTTGGAAAGTATGCGTTCTAATAGAATCCCCATTATAGACACCCACATATTTATATAATTACCATCACGTACCTATACGTAACCAAAAGTACGGTACGCCACGTTAACACGCACGCATCCAAATTACAGACCCATTCCAAATACCCTCCATCACAATTACCCATTGATAACTACTACTGTAGTACGGCAACCTTGGTATTGCCACGGGCCCACCCAGTACGGCCAAAGAAACAATCATACCCAATAACGAATAATTATAAGCTATTACGAAACTACCAATTTCGAGAAAATCACGAGCTTTGTCTAACTTAATGCGCCCCTGCTACAGGCCTGTGCAACGGTCTGGCTAATCGGAGAAATGCAGGACAGCACTCACGAATTTTAGCAATTTTACAAAGTCTTGACTAACATTGTTTTCGGGCGTACTGATGAATGTTCCTATTTATTAACGGCCAGAGATTTGGGACAAAAATTTACTAACTCTTAAGCTTCTTTAAATGTACCCTACCAAAAACCTTAATGTTCAGTTGGTGATATTTCATAAACTTATTTAATTATTTTAATCTCGGTAAGCTGACATTCTTAAAATATTTTTCTATCGACTTAATTTATTTATATTTTTTATTAATTACAATAAGTAGATATACAAAATGTGAGGGATTGAAAAATCACGCCATGTATCGTCACCTCTACTTTTTCTCTGACTTGACGTAAAATATTTCTCAGGAAACCAGATTTTTAAAAATAGCCCAATCGCCAACGAACTTTGATAAAATTCAAATACATAGTTCTCAATAAACAATTCTTAATTTATTAGTAATTGTTTTAGATCAGCACTATACAAAGTGATAATGTTTTTCAAAAGTTTCTCTGTTTTTTGATAATCGTTAATTTAGTAGTTGATACTTATGACACCAAATTAAATTTTTTTTTTTTTAAATAAAACACTGCATCCTTATAAACAAATCTTCATGTTTTAAGCCCATTATTAATTACACTAAATACACAACAATGTGAATCCGTCCCTGTTGTCCAATAATAGAAAACCGGAATCTGCATATTTTCCAGTAAAAAAACAAAAACAAAAATGCGTATAGATATATCAGTCATAATAATTGTGATAATGTTATGCCATCCGACTAGTATAAACTAAATATACGAGTAATTGCATCTCATTATTTTATTAGTAGATATTATTATTTGTAATAAGTTCATAATTTATTTTGATATTCAGAAGCCGACTATTGTCTTCTGTATACAAAAATAATGCAGTGTATATTACGAAACCTGTAGAATCCTGATTTAAGGGGATAAATTATTTATTTATTTTTTTATTTCGTTTTTTACCACGTTTGTTTTGTCCTTTAAATAATAGGTATTCTAATTTTTATGAAATCTTTGAGGTTCCGTTTATCTGTAAGTTTTTTCCATATACTACCGTCTGCAGATACCCATACAGCCTAATTTACTAACGATATCTAAACATAACTGTAAGTTACAGATCAGTAAACTATAATGAATATCTAATAAAGTTACTGTAAGTTACAGATCAGTAAACTACACACATCGCCAAAATTCTTGGACCCCCTTATGTTTGTCAAAATGGGACACTATTATTAAAAGTCAAGAAGTGTGTTACATAGTCCATTTATTTTGGTTATGTATCCAATACAAATTAGCTGAATTTAATTTTAATTGAACAAGAAAAAAATACAGACGAAAAATAGTGCATAATAAAATTATTACTAGAATTTGAATCCAGAAAAAACCACTTTAGAGCGAAATCAAAAATTGATTAATATTCGGTGTGTCCTCCCCTGTTCTGTAGTAAGGTATTAACTCGCCTGTGCATGGAAACAATAAGGGTGTTAATGTAATCCATTGGGATGGTTCCATTCTTCTTGGGCCGCGACTGTGAGTTCCTGGAGGGTGACAGGAGGATTAATTCTGTTTGAGATTGCTCGTCCAACGAAATCCCACATGTGCTCAATGGGATTCATATCTGGCGAATTTGCTGGTCATGGTAATCTTTGAATATTTTGAATTTCTAGTGCTTTTTGTACCCTTCTCGTGCGATGAGGCCTAGCATTGTCATCCATGAAAATAAAATTGGCTTCAATTTCATTTCGGAGAGGATAAATAATGGTTTCAATAATGTTGTGAACATATCTATCGGCTGTCATGGAATGGAAATAAGCTGCGTACGACGACCATGCATTATGCCTCCCCAAAACTTTACTATTCCTCCTTGGTATGGAACGACTTCTCTGACAAAAGATAGTCTTTCTGGTTGCCCTGGCCCTCTCCAAACTCTGTGTCGCCGACTATCACTAATTAAACCATATCTGGTTTCGTCCGAAAAAAGAACATTTTCGCCACTGAGCTAAAAGCCAGTCTCTGTGTTCCTGTGCCCACTGTAGACGAGCAGTGGGAAGTAAACTGGGTACTCTTAATGGTCTCCTAGTTTGTAAATTGGCTCCAGCAAGTCTCCGCCGTATTGTGGTACTGGAAATGAATCGACCTTACGTTCTTCTAAAATGAGTTCGAACAGATGAGACTGTTACGGTTCGATTCCGACGTACATAACCTGCTACATCCCGATCTTCTCTTGGATTAGTTACCCTAGGATGCCCAGTCCCACGTCTCCAGTCAACCCTGTTAGTTTCCTGGTACAAACGCACTATTCGGATAACTGAAGCGCGGAGAATCCCGAGTCTATATGCGATTCGATGATTCGGCAGACCGTCATCATGCAAAGCCACTATTCTTGCTCTATTGAACACTGAAATTCTATTGCCAGGCATAGTTGGAAAGAAAAACTCAACAATCACTTAAACACGTAAAAACCACTTTTTAAACATTGGTACCTAAAATTGTGTAAAATTGTTTTTGTAAACATTTTTAGATGCGTATCAACGGTGAATTAAAATAAAGATTAAATGTACAAAAAAGCAGCCATGATAAATATTTCGTTTTAATATTTACGAAGGGGTACAAGAATTTTAGCGATGTGTGTATAATGAATGTCTAATAGAGTTTGACGACATTTCACGAATTGTTGTTACTGATGTTTCAAAATATCGCTAAGCTGACATCCTTTACATATATCGTTTTCATAAATATTTTACAGAAAAATTTAGACAATTTTTATCTATCACTTCCCTTGTCATTGTCACATATATATTTTTTTCGTCCTCAGTTCGTATTTTTACATTTTCTTCAATAATACTATGTTAAACATATTACATTAGACCTACACCCTCTTTTTATTGCCGGATCTAAGCAAATTCTATTGTTTGTATTGTTGAAGAAATCTACATA